TTCAACTACAGCAACGCTTCGCACAATCGAGCACTCTCAAAAGTAATGTTCTCGCGTGATACTCGCAATCGATACCGACTCAGTGACAGAAAATTGACAAGTGTTTTTTCTTTAAGCTAGCATTGATCGAAATTTTGTTTATATTATCGTTAGTAAAATATTATAATTACAAAATATAACAATTTTTTTCAACATTAAATAATAATTTTATGTTGAAAAAAATTGTAAGGCTTTCGTTTCGTCGTAGTTTCTTAGAAATAATCAATGTTAATTAAAACTGTGCTAACTTAGCGCACTCTGCTGATGCATTTGAAAACTAATTCACGTTCCAATTAAGCTTCAGCATAATTCGGCATTGTGCGTCACTGAGTCGCATTATGCTCTGTAATTGGAAAACTACCACAGTCTACTGATACTGACGGAATGAAGTTGTGTGATTTGATTTATTTTATCTATTTAGTGCTTCTTCAGGTTTAAATGTGTAATAACGGTGGTTTATTAACTGTTTAATATCTGTGAAAGGGCACAATTGTGGGAAAATGAAACAAAGTCGCTGGACATAACTTCTCGGGATCCTCCAAAAAGTCCACTGAAAAAATCTTAGTAAATAACCACCATTTTACTGAGATTATATTTCATCTCATATCATCTCATATCATTTCATTTAATTTCAACCCAGTTGATTAATGTCTCAAATTAATCATCTTCATTTCATTTCATGTTATCCTTTTTCATAAAATTAAGAATACAAATTAAAATAAGACTTGACTTAAAGGTATTAGTTACAGGTCATAAAATTTCTTTAAAAAAAATTACTGACTGAGTGACTGACACTTCACTTGGTGCTATATTAAGTGTATANTACAAATTAAAATAAGACTTGACTTAAAGGTATTAGTTACAGGTCATAAAATTTCTTTAAAAAAAATTACTGACTGAGTGACTGACACTTCACTTGGTGCTATATTAAGTGTATAATCTATGCTTGGTGCTTGTGCTTACGTTCAAAATGGATATCGACGCTTGAAAGGCAAACATGACTAAGCGACAATAACTGCTTTGTACATTAATGATAGGCAATAACCATATTCGATGCGCAAAAAAAATATATTTCTAGGTCTATTAAAATAATTTCAATCCTACAGCTACTAGCTAGATTCTACTACAGCTAGATTCGTTAAAATAGATTTTGTTTTCAGGTATTTCAACTTTAAATTAGTCTACTGTAAATTTCACGCATTGTCGCTTAGTCACGTTTGCCTTTCAAGCGTCGATATGTTTTGATTTTTCTTCCCACTTGACATTGGCGAAATCTAAAAGGAAACGCAATAAACCTAAGAGATAGATAGATAGATTTTTCTTCGATTTATTTTACTGGCTTTGTTTTATGGATTTTATCCTCCTTTCAACGACGACTTTGGCTCAGGAGTAAAGGATCGCAGCTACATTCGATTAAGGATACCGATCAATAACGTTTCATACTACGACTGAAAAACATTGGGTGAATTGTGGTTTTAACCTGACCGAGATTCAAAACCGTGTATATACCCTCCTGTGCTATTTTTAGATGATTTACTAATTGTGTATGAAGATGAAGAAAATATAGATATTTAAAGAAGCATGTGTTTTTATACCCTAACTACAATTGGATAAAAATACATTAGGTACATCTCTCTTATCATAATTAATAAATTAAACATTAAGAAAAGAACAGTTCTTGAAGTATCTCAGAATTAACACTTATTTATATAAAAAATTAACCTCAAAACGAATTGTTATTTTTATTATATTTTTATAATAGTGGCGTCAATTTCAATACATTTTTTAGATATCCAATACATTTAAGAATTTGAAACAGTCCATTTTTATAGTAATATTTAATGTCCATCTTGGGCCCAGCACACTGGAGAGTAGGCATTCCCCTTTGTTTGCTTGTTTATCTTCTATTCTTTTAAATATTCATAAGGTCGTAAAGGTTCATAAAGGTCAGCATTTTACCTACAGGAAATCTAAGATATGATTTTTCAAAAAAATATAAAATTTTCGAGCAATCAATTATACTAGGTACTTACTGAAATTTTCCTTCCTTAATTATGTTACTAATTACATACCATTCTAATACCTCTAGCCGTTCCTAAGAAAAGGTGTCTCAAGGTCTATGAAATACAAAACGGACAGCAAAGTAGATATTTTAAGGGAACTGTTTTTTTTTCTGTTTAGTACTATTGTAGGCAAGACGACTTAAAGTCTCGCTTGATGGTGAAACACCATCGCTCATGGACATCAGTATTGCCAGAGGCACAGTCAAGCCGCTGGTTAGTTAAGGACAGGATTCCTAATAATTGATTGTTTCTTTGTAATTTTCTTTGTTCGATTGCATGAAATAATCTAAACGGTGAACGCATTTAGAGCGACTTATTAAGAGTTAGGCAATTTAGGCAAGTTCTTAAACTTTCCCCGCATTTTCGAAAAGTGATATACAGGTCAGGTCAGCGTTCTCCATGTTTGATCTGGCCAGCTACCCTGTCACTAGCTTATCAACATAACAATCAATACTTTCCGCGCAAACTCAAACGAGGTATAACTCTATAGAAAATACCAAGATCTTATTTGATTTTCAACTTAGAAAAATCAGGTATAAACATAGAGGACAAAGCACAGAAACATTTGCTATTTACATCATTTATAACATTTGTTCATTCATGGTTAAGATTGATGTAATTATTTAAAAATCTTGTATCAACATCATATTTCAAGCAAGTAGACTGTAATCCTACATTTAAGCCTACTAAACTTTAATTTAATTTAAAATATCACTCATAATAGAGAAGAAAAATATTTTAGAAAAAATAGAATAAAAACAAGTTAAAGTTTATAAACAATTTGTCCCTCCGAGCATCTCGGAGGAGGAGATTCGTGCGGCCGTGTCGAGGATGCGGAGGAAGGACGCGGCCCCCGGCCCTGACGCTGTTCATGGTCGGGTCTGGGATTTGGCCTTCGGTGCCCTTGGGGACCGGCTCTTTGAAGCCTGCCTCGAGTCGGGACGGTTTCCGAAACAGTGGAAGGCGGGCAGACTTGTTTTGCTGAGGAAGGAGGGACGCCCTGCAGACTCACCTGCGGGGTACCGTCCAATCGTGTTGCTGGACGAGGTGGGAAAACTGCTCGAGCGAGTGGTGGCCGCCCGCATCGTCCAGCACTTGGCGGGGGTGGGTCCCGATCTGTCAACGGAGCAGTTCGGATTCAGGGAGGGCCGCTCGACCATCGACGCGATGATGCGCGTGGGCGCCCTCTCTGATGAGGCTGTCGGCCGGGGCGGGGTTGCACTGGCGGTGTCCCTGGACATCGCCAATGCGTTCAACACCCTGCCCTGGTCGGTGATCGCAGGGGCGCTGGAGTATCACGGCGTCCCTGCGTATCTCCGTCGGCTGATCGGGTCCTACCTCGAGGACAGGTCGGTCATGTGCACCGGGCACGGTGGGGCGGTGCTNCGGCCGGGGCGGGGTTGCACTGGCGGTGTCCCTGGACATCGCCAATGCGTTCAACACCCTGCCCTGGTCGGTGATCGCAGGGGCGCTGGAGTATCACGGCGTCCCTGCGTATCTCCGTCGGCTGATCGGGTCCTACCTCGAGGACAGGTCGGTCATGTGCACCGGGCACGGTGGGGCGGTGCTCCGCTTCCCCGTCGAGCGCGCCGATATCTAAGCTCTGGTAGCATTTGAGGCTACTCCAGTTAATCACGGACCGATAGGTGAGCTCAGAAGCTCAGCCTGAGAGTTTCTAACACTGGCTACAATACCGTCAGACCAGATAGATACCAAAACGAACATGACATTATAATATTCGGTTTTGTGTCGTTCAGCACGGAACCCTAAATTGTATTACTATATTTACATCGACAAATAATACATATTGTTATGAAAAGGTAGTAGACATAATTCAATTTAAAGTGTAATTATTGCAATTCAGCAGAACGTGTTGTTATTAACTCAGATTATACGAACAATATTTCTTTACCATTGATCACAGCTATAAAAGTGAGAAAGAAGTGTTAAAAAAGAAGTGCGTATGTTATTATAGGTAGATTTATGGTTACTGTGCACGTCTTCAGGTGGCTCGCTCTACCCGGGCTTTTCGAGAGTCAAGATCAATACAAATTCAGTCAGGTTAGCAATGCCAGGTTAGCGTCTGCGTAAGGAGAAATTTCCTTTCCGCGCAGGCTCTAACCGGAAAATTCCAATTCCAAATAAACTAAAGCCGAGTACAGATCATTTTAATAATTTATTTTTTATTGTCATTGATAGTATCGAGCAAGCGTGGCCTATCTATTGATTGCTGTCGTCCAAAATTGCCGGCACATCCAAGAAGACACGGCCATAAAAAGGTTTTTTTTTAATAATTTTAATAATTTTTAATAATTTTTACAACTAGACTCGCGGCGCCACCCCGAAGTCGCCCGATCGATGAGTTGTCGAGGAGTTCATCGACGACCAACGACGCCGGTCTCTGCGGTACAGCGGCCCGTCAGGTAGCCTGGGCGATGCCTACTGGTGCTCAGGGAAACCACGTTGGGTCTGAAATAGCCTGCCCGGTCGAAACTCGATACCCCGCCGACCGGGTTGCTCTTCCACATTACCTCCGGCGATGACAGCGATGACGGCAACGAGGACTGCTGTACACCGGGTTCCTGCAAGCACATTCTCCTGTGTGGTGTATAAAACGATTTCATAGGTTTTCACAATTTATAGTTGCATTAAGAATGTCGCTGTATTACAGACTATCGTGAACTTGGCCATCTACCTAGTGTAAGAAAATATAAAAATGGTTATTTAAATTACAACTTCAGTTCATTATAACAAAATGACTAGAAATTTATTTTGAATATGTATTATTATTTTTAAAATAAATGCGTCTTGACTGTGTACACTCAACGTTAGCTTACAGTATCATTGCGCAGGTGCTGACTATATAAGTAGGACTCATCACAGTCGTTATCTAAAGGGCGTTATAGTAACATTCGTTATTGTGATATTTTATATAAAGCCCACAATATGATAGAACAACAAATGTCAATATTAAGAAAGATTCGATTTTATCAGTTCCTGGAGAGACATTATTATTGGGTAGATGTAACCCATATAGAGAGTCCCGATGAATTCTATGTGCGTCCTGTTGCATTCCGTAACGATTTACGATTCCTGCAAGCACCTCGGGAACTGATAAAGGTATGTGAGTTGCAAATCGGGCGCATCGTGTCTTACAAGTCAGAAGTTGTGCAATGCTTCGTTCGTGGTCAACTTATTCTCATCCAAATGATACCATCTGGGGTAGGGCACGAAATTGTGTGCGATCTATTTGCTATGGATTATGGCTTCATTGATAAGCAGATACCGATTTGGAAAATATTCAAGATTCGTAAGTATGCCAATCTTCCAGCACTCAGTACCAAATGCAGTCTTGCAAATTATGTGCTAAAACCTTCACCAGCAGAAACGAAAAATGATACGCTCATAATGCGGCAGGCTCTTGGCGTGAAACGTGCAAAGATGAGAGTATGCGCGAAGTATGGAAACACTATTCTGGTCGACTTGAATGAAGGCACTCCGAACGATGTTTCAATCTCCATTGTGCAGATGAACAACCCTCCCAGCAAATATATGGTAGAGTTGGACGAAGAAGTCAATGAGGTAGCACGTCGCCAGCTCCGCTACATTCGCTGTCACGTCGGTGATGTCTTGCATGTGATTATGCGATACGTCAGCACGCCTTATCGCTTTTTCGTTAGCGATATTAGGACATACCGTGCATACATAGCAAGCCGACCCGATTTCTCTTACTATTGCCAGTATCAGCAACCATTGACCCTCGACAAAGTTCATCCAGGCCTCTGTGTCGCTATTGAGCTACCAGATGAAATATATGAGAGAGCAATTGTTTTAACCGTTGACAAAAAAGAAAAAAAAATACTTGTCAACAAAATTGATTTTGGTGAGGTTATAGAAACCACAATCGACAAGCTGAAACCTGTTAAAGAACAAGTATTCAACCACATGCCCGCATTGGCTATGTGCTGTTCCAGTAGCTTGGCCGCCCCTTATGCTTATGAATTGATGAAAGAGCTTGAGAAGAAACCCGAATTTATGATTCGATTCACTAGCATTGGATGTACCTTTGAGACTCCCAGCCTGGTGGACATTATTCCAATAATTGAGTAAACTTAAAGATTTTTAGAATTTCTCTCCCATAATGCATTGGATCTATACACTTTAATTACATTGTTGTGTTAATACGTATAATCGATGTGTCGTATCTTTCTAAATGTACTTTCTTACATATATTTCCCTATTATTATTAAATTTTATTAATTTTGTTAAAATGGAATGCTAAGAATGGAACAACAAGGGATTGTCAGACGTCCACGTATTTTTATGACTTACAACGGTACATTTATCTATATACTCGTATGTACCTACTTTATATAAATAGACTTCACAACGTGTTTAACATTGGGTAAATTTTTAAATTTAAAAGGTTCGTTTTATATGTGAACGATAACATTAAAAACTAAGACCGCTATTTTAGAGCCACTGACATTTTTGTCACACTTAAGCGTAATATGATTACATAATTAGCATAGTCTCGAAATTTGACAGGGTCTCTTTGAGAATTCCTTGCAAGACTGAATTAGGAAAACTTAACTTTATCGTGCTTACAACAATAAAATTAAGTTCGGACAGGTGCGATTTTATGATGGATGTAGGAAAGGTATTATACCGTTTGTTTACGTACAATTTTGAATTGTAATATTTGTACTCTTTTTACTGATATTGTTTAGTTATACTATACACCTAATTAAGTACGTTTTGCTACAATACTATATATTTCCATCGATGTTTCTTGCCTAACTGTTGTTTAGCTCTATCGATATGCGATTATTGTACGTCGTTTTAAATGCGTGTACACGTTTAATAGATGTTGTTTTTTTAAAATATCTGGGTGTTAGAAAGTAATTCAGTATTCATATGTAGTTAAGTCATTTAAATGTATTAAGTCATATAATATTCTTGGTGTCAAAACGTTTTAATGAACTTTTATTATAAATTATTGAAAAGAACCCTCAGACACAGCCCACTGAGTTTCTCGCCGGATCTTCTCAGTGGGTCGCGTTTCCGATCCGGTGGTAGATTCTGCGAAGCACGGCTCTTGCTAGGGTTCGTGTTAGCAACGTCTTCAGGTTTGAGCCCCGTGAGCTCACCTACTAGTTAAGGCGACGCTGATATAGCCTCTCAAGGCTATCATCATAAGTAGGAAAAAAAATATTGAAAAGATGTGGTTAAATGCATGTGAGTAACATCGTTTATTGGTAGATTATAGAATAAAAACATCAATTGAATTTTTTTAATACGTATAGAATTAATCGATCGCGTTTCGTGTTCTTCGACGCACAATCTAACTTAATAAATACTCATTGAATATTTATATCGAAATAAGTTGTTGTTTTTATTTCCCTTTTATTTTCTATCACATCCTTTGTTAACCTTTCATTGTCATCAGCCTGTATATCGCCACTGCTGGACGTAGGCCTCTCTCAGAATCCTCCACAGTGAATGGTTCACCGCCTTCCGCATCTAATCTCTTCCTGCATTTTGCCACAAGTCATCTGTCCACCGGTCAAGGAGACGCCTAAAGCTGCGCTTACCGGTACATAGTCTTCAGTCCATAATGCGTCTGCTCCATCGGCCATCGATTCTGCGACATGTATACCCGGCCCATTGCCAGATCAGCTTGCTAATATTTAGATCTATGTCGTTTACTTTGGTTCTTCGACGGATTTCCTCATTTCTGATTCAATCCAAAACTCCAAGCATACCGTTTTCCATACGCTGAGCGACTTTGGTCGAAACGGGAATTCCTTCCTGGGGGGGGGCTTACGCCAATAGTCACCATGTTTAGCAGATGGGTTAGTGACCGCAGTACCATGTCCTTTCCTCAAGGCATGCTGCTGACCTTATCCTAGTCTGTTGCTATTTAAGGGCATAATTTATTAGGGATGATTACACCGCCATTCGTCAGTTGCCAGAACCTCGTCCGTTAGCTAGCAGGGTGCACCATGGGCAGGTGAGGTTGGCTATTGTGTATCTGTGATTCCATCTTCACCCCTTACACCACTTGTCATCCCTGCGTCATAATAGATATAAATAATACGCTGTCTACATATTTTTGGAATAACTAAAACAGGCATGGCGACGGCCCACGTAATAATTACAATAGGTAGTCCAAATCAAAAAGTCTCTCATAAGCCGTAGAGATTTGAATCTCCGATAATCGACTGGCATTGTACCTCTCTTTCTCTATGTAATCAAATGGGTAAAATAAGCATTTAAGAACCGGGTAGAATGAGAATGCCTACAGAGGTGAATAGAGTGTGTACCCATAGGTATATAACAATTTAAACCAGTATATACCCGTATGTACTAGTATATGCCTATACCACATTAGGTATATAGGTACATCCAAAGATTTATTAATAAAACCTCACGATGGATTTTAATGCTATTTTAATGTTTTTTAAAAGTGGTTTTTAAGCATCCATTAATGACTCAAATTAGATCTTGCTCAACTAGTTTCCTGTATGACAGATTTTATAGGTGTAAACAAGTTATCATTGACCACAATGCGACACGATAATCTTCTTATCCTAGCTTATCTCTGCCACCAAGAGTGGATCCGCGGTGGATATTTTATTTGTTTTCACCTGGTTATCAAATAGGTGAGCCGTGGTCGAGCTTACTTGGAATCTTAGATAAGTAAATGTAAGTTCGCCAGCTCTTGACCATAATGAAAATATATTTAAGGTACACGCAATTCAAATGGTTCCTATTTGATTTTAAATTTCTCTAATGATTCTCTGAGAGTATGATAATCTTATTAAAACAAAAATGATGAATCTCGATCGTACCAATAGTGTCTAAATGCCATTCGCCTGAAATAAGCCAGCATTTTGACCTCCAAATATTCTAGTCTTCTCTACTTGGAAACTTTAAGCTCCAACGGTGGTCGATGCATAAAACAAACTAAATGACATACCTTAGCCAGATGCGCTATGGAACATATATGGAAAATTTATAGGCAAGGAATCTTATATGAGTCGTCTATTATCAAAGGTGGCAATCTGTGCATTTGGACAAAAAAAAATTATTGATATGTCAATACAGATTGATTTGAATATAATCGTCTCCTTCAAAGAATACGGTTCAAAACCTGCATTAAATAAAGGTTAATAGTTAACCTGTTATTTATCTAAGATGTCGTTCCGAAGAGTTTTGTGACTGCCAATGGAATACAAAGTCAATAATTCGTTTTTCTGATTTACCAATCATTGTCCAAAAGTCAGATTGCCGGCTTTGATAATAGTCGACTCA